AGAGGCGGAAATGAGAGAGGAACTGAAGAAGCAGGGGGGTAAAGGAAACCTAATTCCACCCTCTATGATGGCCTTGGTATAGAAAGGCATGGCATCCTCGGCCCCGAAGGTGGAAGAGTGCACCACCGGGTCGGGATCCTCTACGACTACGAACGGAGGAATGTCATACTTGGCCCTAAACCTATCGATCTGCTCGTCGCCTTTTACCTTATATTTCCCTGACCCCGAAGAACCAGCCCGAGGATTCTCGGGAGCAGGGCGACGACGAGGCATCTCTAAAAAAGAAAGAAAAGGGTATTGGTTCTTAAAAACCCCTGGGGGAGTCTCCCGAGGGTTTAAATCACAACGTATCGATCGGATGACACCTCCAGTCAATCTGAAAACAAAAGGCTAGGAGGACGAGAAGAAAGAGGGTCCTGAAACTCACCCGAACGTCAAAAATGGAGTTTTTTCTGGAAAAACCTTAAAACAACTCCCTCCTGAAGGTTCAGGAATCAACAATGGGTCTGATAGCTCTGAGATATTGAGAGAAAGGGCAGTCGATGATGGCTGAAGAAACAAAACTTCGGCAAAGATTCAAGAAGGCGTACTCTGGATGAAGTTCGAAATGGCAAAACGATGGAAACCGGAGAAGAACCCCCTTTATATAGGGGCAAATTTTCATCATTGAGCGGAGAAATCGAAACGGCGCATTTAATGCGCACGACATCCCAAGCCGGGGAAAGCGGCTCGAGGCCATGATGAAGGACGGGTGGTAGTTGGGAAACCCTTCGTCTCCTTACAACGCATGTCCTCGGTGTCAGAAGATCGAAGGCTGGGGGGCAGTTGATGGGACTCTTCTGAAATGCCCTATGATGAAGACACGTGTCCTCGGTTTGCTAAAACACTGTTGCTTGGATCAAGCACCATCGGCGAACGAATGTCCTCGCCCCCGAGGTACTCTCATATTGGATCATGCATTCTGTGTATTATACAACAACACGTGTCCTCGGTCACCTATGTACTTCGGTCGCATACCTCCCTCGGTCCCCGAGATGAGCCTTTCCTCGGTGCCGAGAGTTACTCCGTCCTGGACGCTTCCTCTACTCCAGGATAAGCTATTGACGTACAGGTCACTAGCCTAGGCTAGCCTAGGCTGCTCATCATGACCTCGTCTTACACAAGTAATGTCAGAACATACTGGAATACAGAGGTCACAGCCAATAGGGGATGGACGCGTGGCAAATGATGTCACATCAAAGACAGACAAACTACACGCCGTTGCTGACACGCGGCTTGGGAAAACAAACAAATTAGTTGCACCCTTCTGTTGATGAGACCGCATTCAATGCGGTAAGGCTCAGAAATGAAAGGCAATAAATGCTCCTATTACAGAGCATTTATTGCATCCTCCCCGAGAGGAGCACATTGTACCATCGGCATCCCGATGATCCAATATTGATTGCTCGGGACCCCGAGCAGTTAATTAGAGAAGACATTCCTCATCAGAATCAATGCACACGCAACCTGCACCTAATGATCACCTACTGACCACACTGACAGCAATCATGAGGTTTTAAGGTATAAATACTCCTTGCAAAAGGCAAGGCGGGTATGCAAAACACAAACTCACTACTACAATATATTTTTCTCAGTGTTTTCTCCTTCCTCTCTCTCACTCAAAGACTGACTAGACTGTCGGAGGGGATACGCCGGAAAACACTCCGGCGCCCTTCTAACCTGTTCTTCTTTGTTCCAGGATCCTCTTTCAGCCTTACTGGATCGTTCTCCCTCTCGCCCAGGGTCTCCCGTTGCCGTTCCAAGTTACCACCTGACCTCGCAGGCTGTTCCAAGCGGCGTGGTTGGTCACTCACCGGCTCACTCAAAGTTCACCAAGGGAGAGATCTGTTCCCGTTGTTTATATTGTGCAGAATCTTGCACGCACACTTCTATTGGGATCCAGACTTGCACTTCTTGTATCATTTTGAACTTGTAAACTTGAATTAAACTCCCATGTTCTAATATTATTTCTCTCAAAAAGATTTCCTGTTGCGGCTGAGAAGCCAAAAATAACCCATTCTGGTAAGTGATCCTGTAGATTCACAACACAGTTAAGGCTAGCATGCTGAGTTCCATTATTTGAAAAATTGGTGAAACAACTGTGAGCCTTCTGGAAGTAGAATTATAGCTAATCCAAGCTTCATTTTCTATCCCTTGTGTAATATCGTTCAACCATATTGCAGTAGAAACAGATTCCATAGAGTTGATATTGATACCTACATGTGTGAAATGGGGATCCCAAGTATCCTGAAAAGTATCAAATTCCACTGCAACAAAATGACCCACAGTTGAGTTTGTGTTTGATGTCATGTTCCAACCTACAAGACCAAGGGTACCACCTGTGGCGCTTTCAGGGATATTGGAACCGACAGGAGCCAGGAAAAAAGCTAGCCCATGTCCATAGCGATCACTACCCTCTGAATCAATTACGAAAGAGAAATGGGTTGTGAAGTCTGCCATGGTCCCTGAAGCGTTGTCCCATAAGTGCAGCGGTTGGATGTATGTGGCCCGACCAATTCTTCGACCTAATGTCACATTGCGCTCATTTGGGGTGACTTGGATGCCTTCTCCTGTGATATATGCAGCTCCTGTGATGTTTATATTGACGTTAGCATCATGAGGTCCGATACGAGATAGATTGAAGTATAGTGGAGATGCACAAGGGATAATGAGGAAGAAGAAAAAGGAGACATGCCAAGAGTTGCTTTCAGCCATGGGGTACTAGGTAAAATTTGCATTGGGGAGGGGACGACAGTTCGTTGTATAAATAACTAGCAACTGTTGAAGTAGTAGTATGCCAATTTGTTGATCCAGTCGTTGTGTACTCAGTTAAGGATTTTGTTGGACATATTGTATGAGTTTTTATGGTTTTAGCATCTTGGACGACACTCGCCTCACACCCATGGGCCATGGATTCAAGTCCAGGAATTAGTCATTTTATAAGACTATTATTACCTCTCCCAAACGTTGCTATAGACCGTAAACATTTTTTTTTTTTTTTTTTGCTGAGAAATTTAACAAATTGCAAGTGGCCGGCCATTTTGCACAATCATGTCAACTTCTCAATGGATGTTATATATAAACTAAAAATAGTCTTTGTAGCTGGCCAAAAAAATAGACAAAGGGAAAAGTTAAAAGCCGTCCTGAATGGATTACCAAGAGATTACATCAAAGGAGTTTGTCAATCACAATGCCAATAAGAAGAATTCTATAGTAGCCAAAAAAAATAGTACCGTACCCCACAAACGATTTTTTGGGAGGGTTCAATCATGAAGTGCGTTAGAATGGATTTTAACTTTAAGATAGAGCCCAAAAATCTCAATAAAATTGTAAATTACTTTTAAGAAAAAGCGTAACTTGACCTCAAAAGATATATTTTTTGAGATCGATCTTAAAATATTTGATTCAATATTTTTTTTTTATTTTAATTTTGATGGGTCAAACTCAATGGCCCAGCTCAAATTATAAGTCCGGTCCAAGTTCATAGCCAATCTTCTAGAGATCTAGCAAGTTCAGATCAACATAGTCAACTTGGATAAGTTCATCAAGATCAAGGAGCTACATCAGCAGGGAGCATGTAAGGTCATCCAAGAGCCTCCTCCTCTACCACCTTGGAGTAAAGGTCATCCAAGAGCCTCTTTCTTACCACCTTAGAGTAAGGGTCATCCAAAGTCTTATCCTTGTCGCCATGGAGATGGTCAACACCCCTTGTCATCCTTTAACCGAATTTCATAGAGAGCCCCGTAACTGTCTTGCCTGTTGAGAAGATATTGTCACTTCCACTAAAATAGCTACTTGGTTACTAATAACTCGTCTCAATTTGTTATTGGAGCAACTATAAATTGTAAGCCCCTACCAACACTTGAGGGGCAGATCATACCTTGTTGAGCACAACTTTCTCCTCTCCCTCGCAGCTTGTAGCTCTCTGCTCTCCTTGCACATTTGAGTTAATAAAATATCTGGCGACCCTAGTCATTCAGAGAGTGGACATAGGTCACCTTAACTGAACCACTAAAATTTTTGTATTCTCTCTACTTTAATTATTGTATTTATTACTCATACTTGACAGGTGATGTACAAACTCAATTTGTGCATTATCAAACTTGACCCAGAATAATTATTTTAAATCAATAACATATTGCGACTTTGCGGAGTCCTTTGCAGAGCCTTGCTGTCCCCCATTGAGGAGAAGAATTCAAAAGAAAAGAAAGAGCGCAGTAAAGATGAAGTAATCGAATTACATATGAATAAGGACAATCTAGTGTAGATGTTTTCTTTTGGTCGATACGAGGAGGTTAGATGTGCATATTTCTATGGTTAAATTACATTTTTATCCTCTTAACTATGATCTTTTTTTATGCCTTCTCAATTATTGTATTTTTCACTTTATTCTCTCAATTACTTTTATTATTTCACATTACCTTAATCGCAAATGTCTGTTATAGTATGTTCATAACATCTAGCATGAGAGTTCAACATGTGGCATCAATGTAGCTACAGCCATAGTATGTCACAACCAAGGCATCATTTATACATATAATTGACCTACTTATTACGATCGATGTTGAAGTCATCACTGAACCACACATATTTTTCCGATAAGTCTTCCACCATAATCTTGGATTGCATATTAAAAAACAGAACCGATTTAGAGTCTTTCTCATAGCCCTCCAGTACACTAGCTGCTAAAACATCTTTTCACCTTTAGCATAGCCGTAACTAATCAGCAGAGCTGCATTTTGGTTAGCAATTCAAAAATCAAATTTTAATATAACTTGTTCAGGTTAAAACCATTAGTTCCTGTATGGATGATCATCAAAGAAAGCCTACCATCAAGGGTCTTTCAGTACACAAATTTAAATTTAAGAATAACATGAAATTATTAGAACTAGAGTACCACAGCTTATTCATCATGCATCCCTCATTTATGTGGGACTAATATCATACATATCTTTTTCCAGATATTCTCAGAGTCGGCTTTATCCAGATGAGGAAAAAGCTTCTTCGGATGTGGAAGACATGGAGAAAATTCAGCTGTTCTTCGAAAAAATGGTGCCACTAGACGAAGAGGACCAAGATGTAGGCATATTTGCTGGGAGACCAAAACTTGTCGGGACATGTGGCATCTTTGATGGGAGAATAGGCAAGGGAGATTCAGAATTAAGGACAAGAGTAGCTTGCCTTATCGACGATCGGAGATGATAGTCTGGGTGAGTGCACCAAAGGCCAACCACCAGCAACCTTTCCATTTCTTGCTTGTCAAAGTTCACACACAGTTTTTGGTCTGCTGCTTCAAGAATCTGTCCTGATTCATAAAGGTCCCATACCCATTCTACAATTGTCATCTGATTTTCTTGGGCACTAAAACCACTGGGTTTTCTGCCACATGCTATCTCCAAACAAACAACTCCAAAGCTATATACATCAGACTCTTTGCTAGCCTTGCCTGTTACGACACATTCAGGATCCATGTAGCCCAAGGTCCCTGCCAGAGCTGTTCTTTGCCATCCCTTTTCATGATCAACCAGCCTAGCTAACCCAAAATCCCCAAGTTTCGCATTGAAATTTGAGTCTAACATAATATTGCTTGGTTTTATATCCCTATGTAGTACACATTCTTCCCATCCTTCGTGCAGATAGAGCAATGCCGAGGCCAGGCCTTTGGCAATTTTGTACCTCAGACTCCATGACAACACAATATTCTTTTTGAAGAGATGTGAATCTAAGCTACCATTAGCCAGGAACTCATAAACAAGTAGGAGTTCTATGTTCTCATGGCACCAACCTTTGAGCTGCACTAAGTTTCTGTGCCTCAAGCAACTGATGACCGTTACTTCCGACTCGTATTCTCTTATCCCTTGTTTAGACTCCCTTGATATCCTCTTGATAGCAACATAGGAATTCAATTCGCGCAAGAAACCTCTATAAACTCCACCAAATCCTCCCTCTCCAAGCTTCTCTTGCTCTGCGAAGTTTTTCGTTGCACAAACCAATGCACCATATAAGAACTTCTTAGGTCCGCTACCCTTTTCAAATTGGTCATCCATGGACGACTCAATAACAATCTGTTGTTGTTCGGCTTTCCCCTTTTTCCACACGCCATTACCAACCAAAGCCACCCCGATCATAACCAAAACACTGAGACCTACACTCAACCCCACCACTAATCCTATTTGGTTTTTCTTTCCTCCGGTGACAACTATATTGGGGTCTGGATTTGGGCTTGGAGTTGGAGTTGGGGGTCTTAAATCGGTATCAACTGGTAAACTCGAATTAAACTCCCATGTTTTAACATTGTTTTTCTCATACAAATCTGCTGTTGCAGCTGAGAATCCAAAAATAACCCATTCTGGTAAGTGATCCTTGAGATTCACAACATGTTCAAGGCTGGCGAGTTGGGTTCCATTATTTGAAGAATTGGTGAAAACAACTGTGAGCCTGCTGGAACTAGAATTATAGCTAATCCAAACTTCATTTTCTGTCCCTTGTGTAATATTGGTCAACCATAATGCGGTAGAAACAGATTTCACAGAGTCGATATTGATGCCTACATGTGTGGAAGAGGGATCCCAAGTATTCTGATAAGTATCAAACTCCACTGCAACATATTGACCCACAGTTGAGTTTGTGTTTGATGTCACGTTCCAACCTACAAGACCAAGGGTACCACCTGTGGCGGTTTCAGGGATATTGTAATCGACAGGAGCCAGGAAGAAAGCTAGCCCATCGCCATAGTTAACATCACCACCTGAATCAATTACGAAAGAGAAATGGGTTGTGAAGTCTGCCATGGTCCCTGAAGCCTTGTCCCATAAGTGCAGCGGCTGCATGAATGTTGCTCGACCAATTTTCCAACCAAATTCCACATTTGGGGTGACTTGAATGCCTTCTTCATTGACATTAGCATCTTTTGTGATCTTTATATTGACATTAGCATCATGAGGTCCGATACGAGATAGGTTGAAGTATAGTGAAGATGCACAAGGGATAATGAGGAAGAAGAAAAAGGAGATATGCCAAGAGTTGCTTTCAGCCATGGATACTAGGTAAATTTGCACTGGGGAGGGGATTACTGTTTGTTGTAAAAATAGATAGCAACTGTTGAAGTAGTAGTATGTCAATTTGTTGATCCAGTCTTTGTGTACTCAGGTAAGGATTTTGTTGGACATTGTGATTGACAAACTCCTTCGATATATTCATTGGTAATCATGTCGTACCCTCTGCTAGGAAAAAGGTAAAATAGTAACATGATTACCAATGAATATATCGAAGGAGTTTGTCAATCACAATGTAAATAAGGATAATTCTAGCGATTCTCAGTGGAATCAATCATGTGTGGGATGTTTTCCATGTTGTGGAAGCTAAATTACACTTCATCCCTTTAACTATGATTCATGTTTTATTTTGTCCTCTCTATTATTAAATTTTTTATATTACCCCATCAACTATTTAATTATTTCACTTTGCCTCAATAACAAATGTTTGTTATTTTTTTGGACGAAAATTATTGAAAAATAGAGTTATAATTAAGAGCTCAAAGTATAATTTTTTTTATTTTTTTTGTAATTCAAACATGTGACATTATTTTAATCACAATAAATTTATCTATTTACATTTTAATTATAATCTTAGACAAGTGTCATGTCATGCACCACAAAGAACCTAATGTAGAAAATAGCTAAAGCCTCCTTCAAAAGGGTTTGGCTCCCTTCAATTCTCAAATAATTGGATGTTTCTCCAATTTTATTTTTTTTAACAGTTTATTCACGTCAATTAATCTTACCTTATTTGAAAAAAAAAATACTACATAATTCAAATGAAAATCAAAAATTATAACACAAATGCATATCATCCCTTAGATGAGTGGGTCCCACTGAATAAATTAATGAAACTTACTCATCTAAGAGATGATATGCATTTGAGCTGTAAATTTTTGAGTTTTATTTAGGTTTTGTAACATTGTTCATTTGAAAAATATTTTGAATTTTAATATTCAAAATAAAATTATTTTTTTACTATGGATAAATTTTTACTATTTAAAAAAAATAAAGAATTATTTAATTATATAAAAACTGGAGGAGAGCGTCAGCAACATCCAAAAATAGTCGGAGAAAGTTGTGCACTGCGTTGAAAAACATATCTAAAGCAGACTCACTCTTCCTTAATACTAGGGGTGTTCACCCTAACCTATGGGTAGGAAATATACTCTTCTGTCTTGCTACCAGATACTTTACAAAAAAAAAATTTCTTGGTCTATCTTATCTGATTAGGTGTGTTATTCCTACCCGATTATTGGGGTAAGAAGTCGGGTAAACACTTTTGTAACTATTTTTTTTTTTTTAAGAAAACAGAAAGGAAATTTTATTTATTTATAAAACAGAGAAATTAAAAGAAGCAATCAAGGCACATAGCCTCACAAAAACAACCAAACAAAACTAAGGGACATGCGCCATTTTTAAGTAAAATCTCAAAAAACTTGCAGCCAAAACCATCCAACCTAACAGCAACCAGTCCCAAGATTTCAGTACAACTGCCCTCATTCTTCCAAAATTGCAAACAAATCAAACACTACCAAAGCCAGAATGCATCAGCCTTTATCATCTCACATTGAATGTCATCAGTAACTTGGATGTTACTGTTAGAATCAGCTTAAACAGATGATTGTGGAGTAATTTTATCCATAAAAAAATGATTTGTGAACAAAAACAAAATATGGATATGGTATAAGAACTGATATGTTGGAACCGTAAACATCTTGGACAAAGTTAGTGTCATGTGTTTGATACACATCATCAATAAACTTGTCAAACAGAGAGATGGGTTTGGCATAATAAACTTATCAAACAGTATAATAAGTAATCAAGTGCATTGGCATTTTAATCACGAATACAAAACTGCATGTTTTGGAACAATTCCCTGTTTCAAAAAAATTTTAACACAAAGGGAACAGAATTCAGTTAGAAGTGCACATATTATCATCAATGTAAAACTAATAAGAAAGAATCCACAGGTTCTTCTATTAATCCATCTGATAGGTTGACAAATAGAGAGGTGGGTTGCTTTTTTTTTTTTTCCAACCAAGTGATCGTGACTCAGACTAGACCCGATCAAACTAGGCCATCGTGATTCAGACCAGACGATTCATGAGGAAGAAAGGTCGCGCAGAGAGAAAGAGAGAGAGAGAGCACTCCAGATCGCGACCAGACCATACCACACCAGATCGTAATCAGATCATGATTTGAAAAATTATGTCGTATTAATAAGTGATGGGGTTCGGAATTTTTTATCATGATTTGATTAGTGGATCTAAACACATGATAGTTGGCATGTATTGAAAAAAGTTATTTAAAGTGACTTTATTATAACTGAGCAGGTAAAGTCCCGACCTAACAGATAAACGCTCAACTAAACAAAACTGTAACTTGGCCGAGCAGACTTTGGCTTCGACTGAGTGGACTTTGGCTTTAGCCAAGCATATTGAGTAGAAGCCAAACATGAAAATAAATCAATTAAAAATAGTCTGCTCAGTGGAAAGCACTTCAAACTGGGAACTGTATGCTGAGCTAGAAAGCATGGATACGCCTCTGAAAGTGGACGTGGCGATATCCGACATGTGTTCGACCTGGATACGCGTTGGACACGGTTGTACACGTGTCCGACGCTTCCACAAGTGTCCTAAACAGTGATCAAGCATATTTTGTGGACGGATACAACTTGGATACAGGGTGATACAGGTGAGATAGAGCTTCAGATCTTTGTTGAAACTCAAGCTTCTAATCTTTTGATTCTGTAGCATTTCCATCCATGTGATGCTCACACACATCCAGTTGCTTTTTGACAAGAAGAAAAGTCTCAATTATTTTCTAGAACTACAAGAGCATAACAAGCTTGAATATCGCTGTAGACCAAGAAAATACATGGTTCATGGAAATCAATCAAAACTTTATTGTTTTTCTTCTCCTCAAAATTCAAAATATCATCTATGTAATTCTTTTCAAATTTCCCATATTGAAAACCTTTAAGAGTCTCTCTAACATCACCATAAGTATATTCGGCCTCCTCACTAGGTTCATTATTTTTCATTTGATAGCATAATCTTGTCTCACAATCAAATGTCATGATTGTCGGTTCCTAATAGGCCTCTTTTGCCTTATCATATTTGCCCTCTTTTGTTTTAGGCAATTTCACATTTTATATCTCGA